TTCTTACACAGCTCCTCTTGCGGGAGATTGGGTTGTTACTTTGGTAATGGAGCACTTGGTTAGTGTGGGTTGTTTTTCCATAGACTTGTGTTTCTAATTTGCCGTTATTTCCTCTGCTGATGTGGATATCCAGGAATGGTAATATGTTGTTGTTTTCTTCTTCCCTAGTGAATTTTATTCCTTTGAAAATGTTGTTGATTAGTTCATGTGTCTTCTTTAGTTGTTCCTCTTTTATTATGACAAAGGTGTCATCTATATACTGGATTCATACTTTTGGTTGTATGCATGGAAGTGCTATAGTTACTAGACGCTGCGTTACGATCTCTGCAACGAATCCTCAGACTGGTGATCCCATGGATGTTCCTCTGATTTGTTGGTATATTTGTCCCTCAAACTGGAAATAGATAGTGAGGCAGAGATTGATCCTGGGTGTTTCGATCTTAGTGTATTTGGTTAGGTTGGGTGTGTTGTGTAGTACTGCTACCATGGATTCTTTCACTAGTTCCAGTTCTATGGATGTAAAGAGTGCTGTGACATCAAATGAAACTATAATTTCACCTTCATATATTTGTAGGTCTTTGATTTTCTGGAGATACTGTAGTGGGGAGTTGATAGAATATTTGCTCCCTTCTGTGAGATGTCCAAGCTTTTTTGTGAGTTCTTTTGCTATGTTGTAAGTTGGGGTCCCTGATAACGATACAGTTGGTCAGAGAGGTATATCAGGCTTGTGTATTTTTGGGCATCCATAGAAGTGTGGAAGGATGGGTCCACTGCTTTTCATCCGCCACTGTTCTTTTGTGATACGGCCTTTCCTGGTTAGGTTGTTAAGGGTTCTTTTGATCAGGTTGCCTAGTTTCTGTATCAGGTTGGTGTTTACTGGAATGTAAGTTTCTTTGTCCTCCAGTAACTTTTTGGCTTTTTGTATGTATTGTGATCTATCCATGATAACTGTGGTTTGACATTTGTCTGTTGGGAGGATGATGATGGTTTGGTCTTTCTTTAGGTTTTTGAAGGCTACTCTATCCTTTGCTATGACTTGGTGCCGATTCTGTGTTCTTCTGATCTGTGGTATGATTATCTGCCTTGTTTTCTTGAGTCTCTGTGTTAAGTACTATGGTTTTAAATGCTGCTTCTAAGGCTGCACAGAATTCTAACTGATTAGCATCATCCATGTTATAGTAGAGGCCTTTCTGGAGGATATTGTGTTCTGCAGTGTCGGCCTTCTTTAAAGCCTTAAAGACCTGTTCTGTCACCTGGCCTGGGGGTCAGGAGGTGGAGTTGAGCCCATGCATGTTATGTTAATCATTACTGATGGATCTGTTTTTACCCTGACTGCTCTTTTACGTCTGTTGTGGGGGGGGGGGGGTTTTTTGTTTTTTTTTTTTTTTTTTTATGTTAGTTTTTTTTTTAATTTTGCGTCTTTTTTTTTGTTTGGTGGGGGGGGGGGGGGTGTTTCTGTTTTTGATTTTTTTTTTTTAACATTGTTAACCGCTCAGAGTCATTAATTTGAGATGGGCCATATAAATTGAATAAATAAACAAGAAACATTTATTAGGACTTGTCCAAAACCTCTATTTCACACGCCATAGTATGTTTGGCAGACTGTTCTCGCATACAAAATACTTAGCAGATATCCTTAGTCCATCTGATAGGAGACCCTGTACCCTTGTGTAATATGCTTTGCCTTCTTCTCTCTTAGGAGAAAGATGTCAAAATGTTCCAGTGCAAGAATGATTTTGCCTATGCCCCCTAGAGGAAATAGAAACAGTGTCATGTGTCATCTTGCAGTGTCTTTTTTTTTTACAGGACATGGCATCTAGTCACACAAGATCAGACAGGGAGATCACTTGCTTACTTTTGGCTGACAGCTCAGTAAATATCTGTAGAAGGGTTACCAGATTTCTTGGAATTGCTGTTGCTGCAAGACAGTTAATTATATAGCAGTCTTATTAATTTGTTTCCTCTAAGATGATTTGTATTCTTTTTTGGTTTGTTTTGATGTTCTTTATTTATTCTCCTGATTGTTTTAATACATGCAATATTTTAGTTTTGCCTTCTATGCTTTGTCCTCTGACCATAAATTTAATTTAAAAACCATTCTAATTTTAATAATTATTTAACTATCTGTTCATCTTAGCTGTTGTATTGGGCTGTAATGTATTGTAACGTGCTTGATAAATTTTGGTCTCTTGAGTGCAGATAACCTCCAAACAGTTTATATAATTACCTTTTTTTTTTTAGTCAGTGCCACATATATACCTTTAACTATCCTAATCTCCACATCCAAAGCTGTAGGTAATTGAATTCCATTTCCTGGCTTCCCTATTAAGAGAAAGGTAATGTGTGGAAAATAGTTTTATTAGTGCACTGAAAAGAAACCCTTTTCTTTCCTGATGGAAGGTTCTAACTTAGGGTGCAAAAAATGTGGCACAGCATGCCAGCTTCTCTTCGGAAGCCCCTAGAGCATGAGGAGCTAATTTGGAAGGCATTCTTTGAAGTTTGGAGGCAAAATAAGTGTCTTATAACTTGGAGAAACTTGCACATGTATCCTGTTGTATAACCCCTCAACCAAAGCGTTTCAGATATTTCATGAAATAATTTATTAAGTTATGTAATAAATAATAAAATAATATTCACTGTATTGTTTTGCCATACATAATGTCATTTTTTTCATAAATCATTCTAGGTCCAAACTGTCCAGTCAACCTTATCTGAAACTCCAGTGATGACCAGCCCTTCCCAGCGCATCCAGATAATCTCCACAGATTCCACTGTATCATCACCACAACGGATTCAGGTATAGGTTTGTTTTCTAATTATAGTCTGTACCATCTCTTTCGGCTTAATATGTATTGTCAAAATTGTTCAGTAATAATAAAATATATTAATATCTTTATTTCTTTATGTGACCATTTCAGACCTAATGTGTAATTTTATAGTTATTTAGAAACATTGTGGAAGGAACCGATTTACTATGAGAGAGCTATCTTCTACTATCTAAGAGGCTTTATTTCATTATTGGAACTACATTTTTGGAAGCATTTTGTCAGAGATCCTTCTTTCTTATTTGTATGCACTGGTGGGTAGTACATGTTTTAAGACAATTTCCTATTTCATTTTGAGTAATCATGTACATATTCAAAACACCTGCTGATAGAATCTTTCCATTTTTATTATAGCCTTTTTTTTTTTTGCCTAACCTGCATCCATGATTTGGTAACAGAGGAAAAACAGCATTCTTTATACTGTAAATAATGGCATATAATTCTTAAAAGTGAACTTAAAACTTTTTTTTTTCTTTTTGTTATAGATTGTCACAGATCAGCAAACAGGGCAGAAAATTCAAATAGTGACGGCAGTGGATTCATCAGTATCTCCAAAGCAACAATTTATACTTGCTAGTCCAGATGGAACAGGAACAGGGAAAGTGATATTAGCTGCACCTGAGGCTTCTAATACTAAGCAACTTATTTTTACCACCACAGATAATATTGTGCCAGGCAGAATACAGGTAAACACCTCAGTTAAAGGATATATATATTGGATATTCCAACTCAACAGCATGCAGAGAGATGGCTTCTAGTTTGGCTAGTTAGTATGGTTGGGTCACTCCATAGAATCTATATTCTATATTCTATTCTCCACTTTGTATTACTGAAATATTATCAGCACAACTGATAAATCAGGTGATCTCAAAACACAGATGCAAAACTAAAGATGTGATTAAGATTGTATAGAACAACACTGTCATGTTATGCAAACTAGACAGTGGGCTGTGCTTTACATCCTCTTGAAGCAATCAGTAGATGGCTGCCATGTGAATGAATCAATATGACTTTCCTTCATATTATCATGCTGTCAGTTACCATTAAACTTTTAAGGCTTTTTTTGTTGGTTTGCTATTCCTTCTGTTTGATACCCTATCTTTTTTCATCTTTTCCATGCTTCTTCCCTTTCTGCAGGTTTTTCTGTGGCCACAGCTGTGTTTTAAAATTAAGTTTGAAAAATTGCAACATCTTTTTAAATACAATTTCAAATAGAAATTATACTATAAACCTTCAAATGTTTCATTTTAGATTGTCACTGACTCTGCCTCTGTGGAACGTTTGTTGGCTAAAACTGATGTCCAGCGACCACAGGTAGTAGAGTATTGTGTTGTCTGTGGAGACAAAGCTTCAGGTAAGACATCAGGCTATTTGGCTGAAAGGACACATTTGCCTTAAACAGTCACAAAGTACTAATTTTTCACTGAAAGGCAGATTTGATGAGGCTAAAAACACAAATAACTTTTTTTGCTGGTGATCGTGGAATCTTCAAGAAAGTAAAAAACTGGACTTAATGTCAATATTGTAACAGTGATATTGTTCATTTTCCATAGACCTCCTGGCCCCCAAGTGAACATCATTCCTTTTAAGTCACATATGCAATGAGAATGTCTCCCAGAGTTCCCAGGAAATTTTCTGTGGTTCCCTGTAGGGAGGAGCAGTAACAAGGAAATAGTATTTCCTTAATACAAAAATGGAACTTTACAGGGTGTGATGGCAGCAAAGTGGTACAACCAAAGAGACAAAATCTAAATTTGGAAATATTGATTTGGCTTCAGAGTGAAAGAAAAGAAGATAATGCCAGAGAAGGCTTTAGAGTGGCCCAACAAAATGCTTAAGTACTTTTGGTTCCATGGAAAGTCCATTTGATTTTTTAAAAATGGATTTAGTTTCAAAGGAAGTGGGGTGAAGAGCACAAAACTCAGAGTGATTTTGACTCTGCTTGAAATAGGACAGAAGCAAGGATTACTAGACAATGAACAGAGTAAATGTTCTAAAGAACAAATAGAAACTTTCCTTTCATTTTTGTCTTTTTGACTGAGCTTTCAGTTGGCTGATTCGTCCTAACAAAAACTAGAAGACAACTGGGTAGGGCATTTTCAAAACAAGATGAGGACATGAATGCTACCAGTGTAATGCTTAATTAGTAATTAAATGTACTAATTTGTTGGGATCCAGTTTTCTTCAGGATAGGAGAATGTTGGCTGTCTAGTTTTTGAATTGGTCAGTTTGTAGATTTTAATAGTTCGCTTGATTGAAAGCTTTTGCAATTTTTTTTTGTGTGTGTGTGCAATTCACAGGAGTGTTTTTCCTGCTTGAGTTACAGCAAAAGACATATGAATAGTGACTTTTTATTAAAATAAAACCAGGTAGCCAGCATATTAGCTTCAGAATAATTTTTCTTCCTTCTTCTTGAGTCTTACCTCTTCAGTTACTTTCCAGAACAAAAGTTATTTTAGATTACTAGGGTAATACCAGCACAATACATATTTATAAAAAAAACATTGCTGAACACCTTGATAAAGCTGCCTGACGATATTTAGGGAGCATTTTTTGAAGAAAAGATGCAAAAAAACTGACTGACTCTTTAACACCTAACAGTCAAGAATGGGAAAATTGAGGACTTTCTTCTCCCCATCCCCCATAAACCACCTAAGTTAAAGATTATCAAATTTTGCTCTAAAATGGTAAATGAATTTGTGTGCTTTGCTGATAAAGCTGGGCAAGAAATAAATGTACTACTTTTAATAATTAAATTATAATCTATATGTCAAATGGAACAATGTTATAACATTGCAACTTTATAAAGTATAACCTTTTCTTTAGGAGTGAACAGTAAAACAATCATGTTTAAAACTATTTATATAACGGTTAGGATGAGCTTGCTTACTTTTATATAATTCTTGAAATATGGACAAAATTATTTTTGAGATAGCCACTGTTAGTGTCACATATTTATTTTGGATTCATACTGCTGTTTATAGCAGTAACTGTAGGTAATCCTGACTTTGCTTTCAGCTTATCCAGGCAGAGTTGGAGCAAATTCTGGCAACAATCCAGCTTTGCATACTTGCACACCAAAGCCAGAGCCTAATCAGAATGTGCTCCAGGCAGAGAAGGAGTGAGTTCTGACAGGATTCCAGTTCTGTTTTTATAAGAACAATAACATTAACATGCAAAGCTAGGTTGTAGTACTGAAGAATGTACATCATATAGGGTTAATTGTTGGGTTCTAATTCTCTGAATTTGGTTGTTTTCCTGTAGACGTTTCATTGCCAGGCTAGATAACTGTAGCAGCCGCTATGTAGGACAGACATATAGAAAATTGGCAGAACGCATCTACAAACATCAACTGGCAGTCAGAAGTTATGGTGAAAATTCCTTAATCTCTCAACAAATTCAGTCACAATTTCAACTGGGAAATTGTTGATATTTGATATCAAGTCAAATCCAAAAATGCTAGGGACTCCCTGGGAGCTTGGCATGTTGACAAATCAGCCATCAACAGACACATAGAGATAAATCCCATTTACATAGTATTTAAAAGGTATAATCAAAAATCAAGGAAGGAAACAAACAACCCCAAGCACATCCCCCCAGCAACTAGCCCCCCCGAAAAGCAGGAAATAGCATAGATAAGCAATCAAGGAAGAAACAATAGCCTCATTAAGGAACCATCAAGGAAGAAACCACACCTCAGTCAAGGCTGGCAGGGAAAGTTACTGTACATAAACAACCAGCAAATGTCACTCTCTCATATACTGATGTCACCCAGTCTGGTAATGAAACATCTTCAGCAAAAATACCCAAGCTCATAGAACACCAAACCCAAAAGCTAAACTAACTTGTCCAGGCAGAACAGGAGCACATTCTGGCAGCAATTATGCTTTGTGTGCACAGGCCACCTGTGATCTTTGCTCAGATTTACTCATGAAACCCAGGGTGTTGCAACCAATAGATGGGGAACCCTTGGTTTAAGTATCATCATTTTCTGCAAAGGACTTCAGACTGGAGATGAGATGTGAGTTGATCAGAGATAAGTCACTTTCAGTTTTGTTACACTGACCCTAGAGTGCAGGTCTTCCCTGGAAGATTTTGCCTACTGGCAAAACTGACATGTTCACCTGAGATCCATTTTTAACTTTTTGCTTGTATTTGTGTGTGCTTTTTGCCGTAAATGACAGCAATAATTTTGGCTGCTCGGTTTGAGCTTTATAGTTTTTATAGCTTTGTTTTACGATTGTTCACCATTCTGAGAGCGTTCATGGTGACAAATAGGATAAGGTGTATGAATGAATGAATGTTGTATATGGCCTCTAATTGGCTTACACACAAAATACATCTTAGTTTAATAACTGGAATAACATAAAACTACTATTAAAACCTCCAAAAATTTCAGGAAGATCCTTTGATCTGCAAGAATTCACTTTTATAAAAATGATAAGATTAAAAGCAAGCTGAAGAAACCATTGAACAATGGGCACTGCATAAATAAAATTAGTTTTAAAATGTATTTTCTTTGTTATAGTCATCATGTTTTCTTATTTTCTTAGATTTTTTTTCCCACTTTTTTTAAGGTCGTCATTATGGTGCTGTCAGTTGTGAAGGATGCAAAGGCTTTTTTAAAAGAAGTGTGAGGAAAAATCTGACATATAGTTGCCGTAGCAACCAGGATTGTATCATCAATAAACACCATCGGAATCGTTGCCAGTTTTGTCGGCTCAAAAAATGCCTTGAGATGGGAATGAAAATGGAATGTGAGTCTACAGTCCATAAAATGGTTCTTTTCTATCAAAAGATAGATGATAGGAGTTTGGTCATTTCTGTGATTAGAAGTTGTTTCTACTATTTGATACACTGTTTTCATAGTCCCAAATCAGACTCTGTTTAACGCTAATCTTTGGCTGAGCTTTACAGTAAGTCTTCAAACATTCAGAGGATTGTGCTGTAAATGAAACAGTAAAATGTTTCAATTGGTAGCTCAGGGTTGAACTGTGAAGTCCTTGGGGATCTCTGAGCTTGGTTGTTTTCTTGCAAATGTTTTGTTACCCAGCTAGGTAACATCTTCAGTGCTAGGATGGAGTGGAGTTTGCTCTCTGCTTATATATTTAGTTTCCCCTGCCAGTGGGAGTGGGTCCCCCCCCCTTGGGTTTTCTTCTGTCAGAATCTTAGACCAAGCTAAATCCAAAAATGTGAGGGAATTCAGCCATCAACAGGCACGTAGAAATAAACAGCATCTACACACTATTCAAAAGAGACAATAAAAAGGAAACAAAAAGACCAGAACATCTCCTCGCCAGCAATCATCACCCATATAAAGCAGAGATTAACACCAAGATTAACACCAGACAAACAATCAAGCAGTAGACAATACCCTAATCAAAGAATCACCAAAGCAGGGGAGGAACCCACCGCCACCAACACTGGCAGGGCAAGCTACTATATAAGCAGAGAGCAAACTCCACTCCATCCTAGCACTGAAGATGTTACCTAGCCAGGTAACGAAACGTTTGCAAGAAAACAATCAAGCTCAGAAGGACTCCATGGTATATTGATTGGCAGAGATGTGATGATACTCAAAAACAAAAAGACTATTCTGGTATCTGGAGATCAGATAACTTGAATATGGTAGTGTATTAAAAAACAAGAGGACAAGCATAAAAGGTCAATTCTGGCAGCAGAACTGGTGAATGCATCTGCAGTACAGGGTAAAATAGGAAGTCCATAGTGATAAATAAATCACTAATGTCTTGGTTATTCAGATCAAGAGCAAAGGCAGGACATGCAGTGTCTAAGACTGCAGAATGCCATTTTCATTTATTCTTTATAAGAATATACAGTGGTACCTCGGGTCATGAACGCTTCTGTTCACGACCAATTCAGGTTACGAACAGCTCCGTTCGCAAAATTTTGCTTCCGTTCGCGAACGCCGGATTGGGTGACGAAC